CGGTATTTTCCGGTACGAAACCGGTATTTTGACCAAAACGGTATTTTGAGTGTAAATGTACCGGTCGGACCACCGGTATCCGGTATTACCGGTAATACCGGCCGGTACGAAATGGTATTTAAAACATGGTACTATAGATTAGACTGAATCTACGTAGTTAATCTAGTACACCCGTCTTGGAGAGTGTGCTATAATTCTTATCACCAAAATTTGTCTTGTTCATGATCTAATCTAAAACACCAATAATGCAGTAAGTAGCTTCCAACATTTTCCTCCCAACCCAATTCCAGGAAACCCTAGAAAGATGTCCAATTCCAATTGGGTTTCCAACATTTTCCTCATTATCTGCATTTCCAACTGCCATCTGATCAGTTGCAGCTCAGGACTGTCTTCGGACCCACATAAACAGCAGCAGCTAGACAGAATTTCAAAGCTTCCTGGGCAAAATTTTAATGTGAGCTTTTCGCACTACGCTGGTTACGTGACTGTAAGTAAAGAATCTGGGAGATCTCTATTTTATTGGTTCTTCGAGGCTGATGAGGACCCTTCTTCCAAGCCTATTGTTCTTTGGCTCAATGGAGGTGAATGATTAATTCAATCTCAAATGTGTCTTTGTATGCGATAGTTAATGCATTAGTGTGCGTTGTTTATGGGTTTTATTTAATGCACCAGTATGATTTTGTATGTTATTTACTGGATGATTGCGGTGTGTGTGTGTGTGTGTGTGTTGAGATAATATTATTTTTAGTTTGTTATTGTTGACGTCTGCAGCTAATGTACTGCCGAATTTCTGAACGTTGGTTTCATATTCAGGGCCAGGATGTTCATCTGTTGCATTTGGACTTGGTGAGGAAATTGGGCCATTTCATGTTGAGAAAGATGGGAAGACTCTTTACTTGAATCCATATTCTTGGAATAAAGGTACGGTTTGTGGTTTTGCTTGCTCGATAACAGCATTAAACTCTAGAATTTGAGAATGAATCCAATGGCACCATATGGTACAAAAGAACTAAGACATTATGCTGCATTTTTCAATTGTACCTATTGTGGTTCCATATCATCTGATGTATTTTGCCACATCTCGTGCATTGAGTTTGTTGAAGTACTTCAAAACTGATGCATGTCCAATTTTCTTGGTACATATGAGACTTCATAATCTATTACACATTTGGTACATATTTGTTTTACCTATAAGTTTGTACGAAAAATCAATTAAATTTTGTTTTATTTCCCCACTCAGTATTCTTCATTTGTATTCCTTATGTACTTTGTGCTGGTCCTATTCGTTTATTATCATCTTTTAGCATGGTTTTTTTGAGTTACAAAGTAATTACTGAATTTCATGATAATATTGCTCAAGGTTTGCCATATTTGCAGTTGCGAATTTATTGTTTCTGGACTCTCCCGTTGGAGTTGGATTTTCTTATTCAAACAGTTCCTCGGATATACTGCATAATGGCGACAAGAGGACTGGTACTTCCTTCTATCTGTTAGAGCCACTTCATCTTTTGTCTCCGTATGATGTTTAGACATACCATTTATTGATTTTGAATTCTGTTATTGCAGCCGCAGACAACTTAGCATTTTTGCTAAAATGGTTTGAACGGTTTCCACAGTACAAAGGAAGTGAATTCTACATAACTGGAGAAAGCTATGCTGGTTGGTGCAATATTATTATACACCTTTTATTTTAGTTTTTCTCTTCTGAACTGCCTTTATGCTGTATCTCTTGGCTAATATCATGGGAGTATTACAACTAGTTAACAAGAAACAAAGAACTGGAAGCCACCATATAAAAATTTTAGTTGCTGTGTAGCTCAGTTGTGCTTTCTCTTGAATAATATTATATTAGCATCATAATAACAACAACTAGTAAGAGAAATGGAAATGGAAGTGATTCACTGGGAACAAGTACTAATAAGGAATTATCTCAATTTTTTATGGAAATCATAAAATTTTACGGCAGTTTCAATAACCCCACTGTCTTTTTACCTGAGCATAATTTCATATATCATAATTTGTGGTGGACCTAAAATTGTGAAGTATTTTAGTGTGGCTGTTTTCTGGCTTTTTGTAAATTATTTCTTGCATTGACAGGGTCCAAAGGGAAAGATCATGCTTATTGTTCTTTATGATATTTCAAAATTATCAGTCAATGTACTATTGACAAGTATTGAGTTTCGAATTGAGGTTGAGTTAATTATCAGATATATTTAGATGAACTTATCACACAAAGTACTAATAACAAGGATTTATCTTACCATTAAACTGATAATTGCATTTTGTGCTTCTATAATTTGATTCCCTCAATTATTTCTTACACCAGAAAAGAATGTTTTCTTTGTTCCTTGGCCTGGGTGTGGTAGCTACCTATACAAAGGATTTTGATTATCCTTTGAAATTAGCATTTGTATTTCACTCAGAGATGATTTTTCATCTTTCCTGTTGTTGTTGTTATTGTGATCTTATAGTATTGTATTTCCCATTTACTAATGTGCAGGTCACTATGTTCCTCAACTAAGCCATGCTATTGTCAGACACAACAACAAAAGTGGAAATGAAATTATCAATCTTAAAGGTTTCATGGTACGGACTTTATTCATTTGATTGTAGGGTATATACGTGCTTGTGACTTGTGTAGACAAAATTGAGCAGGCAGCATGTCTTTTCTCAATCAGGTTGGAAATGCTTTGACCGATGATTTTCACGATCACTTAGGACTCTTCCAATTCATGTGGTCGGTTGGTATGATTTCTGATCAGACATTCAAGAAGTTAAACATCTTATGCGATTTTGGGTCATTTATACATGTCCCTGACAAGTGTGAGAAAGCTATGGAAATTGCCGATGAAGAAATTGGAGATATTGATATGTATAGCATCTTTACTCCTACCTGCACAGCTAATTTTAGTAGCTTGAATCATCCTTGGAGAAAAAAGAGTGTAAGTCTTTATATACTTAATAAAGCAAATGATCTTACACTGTATTGGATGTTGTGTTCCATTATGACTGAATTAATATGACTAAATTAATAATAATAGTTACAAAAGATTTCTCTTAGGTTTAGCCAATTTTATAAAAAAAATTCGGTTAGTTTTCTTCTTCGTCCTCGTCCTTATCCTCTTCCTCCATTATTATTTTTAATAAATGCCTCCTTACATGGAAAACTTGTTAAATGTAACATTGTTGGTAAAGTATTTTTAATTTTGAAAGATAACCTTTTCCCTTTTCAGATTAGGCAAAACCTGAAGGTAGAAGTAGTAATTCTGCATTAAAAAAATTCAGTATGAGTTTCATATTTGTATTGCTAATAGAATGTAGTTTTCATTTGATAGAAGGTCGGTCTTCTCAGGAGGGTGTATGATCCTTGCACTGAACAGCATTCAAAAGTCTACTTCAATCTTCCTGAGGTTCAAGAAGCGCTGCATGCTCGTAGCAAGAATTCTCCATTAAAATGGGAGACTTGCAGGTAAAGTTGTATATTTTATATAATTTCATTTCATATGAAATTCTACAAATGTCATCCTCTTTCCTCTGTTCATTGTGCTCTTTTCTGTTAGCGGTTTAGGTTGTGATAATTTCTTCAACCAATTGCATTTATGGTCTGAGTTTAATCCGCATCTACAAGCAGCATTGAAAATGGAAACTATACATGTTTCCATAAGACACATC